TATGGCACATAACAAGTCAATGTGCAATAAAATGGTCTTCTAAATTAATGGTACTTTGAAAGTTACCTTAACCAGTTCCTATGAGTTTTGCTAACTTTGAGCTCTGTAGAAGCCACTTGAGCTGCAGCCCCTTGGCATGACAAACATGCAAACACCCAAAACACCTGATCCTCCCTTGCTATTCTGAATCAAAGCAGCCTGTTGTAACGGGACCGGTGGGCCACTAGTGATTTGGGAAGGCACCTCTTAGAATGTTAGAAATAGTAGTTTCTATCAAAAATATTCACTGCCATCTCACACGCAGGCACTTTCTAGGGTATTTATGATAAAAAAATAATAGACTTTTTTCTTCCCCAGTGGTACGTTTTTTATTTACATCACAAAACAGGAAATTAAAGTATTTAACCAAAATCCCCAGCAGGAGATGTAAATCTTTGAAACACTTGAATGACATTAGTATCTCCCAAACGCCTAAAAATATTTCTTTAAAATGAGTTAAGGGAGAATAGCACTCTCCTTCCTGAGACACAAGCACTGCTCTACCAGATGACCTACCTGACCCAGAAAACAGTAAACCAAGAGCCCAAGACGTCCCTTTTCCTTTTTCCTTCAAAACCCTGCCTTCTGTCTATGGTGAATAAACTAACTGGAAACAACCCCTCCCACAGCAGCTACTTGAGGAAGTGTTAATCATTTCCCAAATAGACGAATGCATGTGTGGGTTGTTACAGCATAGAATGCTGTCAGACTTCTTTGCTCTCCATCCCCAAGATGGAACCATGTCCTGATCCCCATGAGATCTCCTCTTCATAGTTATTTTCATGCACTGATGGAAGCTGTCCATCATCCCTTCAGAAGAACACAGGGTTCAGCCCCCTCCCCATAACTGCAGCTGTCCAAGAGGTGTCACAGCTTGAAGACCTCCAAAGAAAAGACACCAGAGGTTACACCAGGGCATTTCTCAGTCCAAAGTGGTAAAGGGTACAAGAGCCTTCTCTACCTTGCAGGTCAGCTTTGGTCAACGCAACTTTGTTAGCAAAAGAACAGAGAAAGCGGAAACAATAACCAGAGGTTAGTCAGAGGTACAGTCAACCAGGATAACATCACAGAAAAGACAATGCAGTCTGCATAACCAACATCACTCAGACAGACAATTGAAAAACGCTCCACAGGTGCACCAGAAGACAGCACAGACAGCGAGACGTGCAGACTAGGAGTGGAGCAAGCCTCTTCGGAGCCATGGCAGCAGAGCAGAGGCAGGGGACGGTGGACTTGACCAAGCAGAAGCAACGAGCAACAAGACCTTGCCACATCCACACAGCCAAGGTACATGATCCAGAGACAAGGGCAGCGGCGTGGCCATACTGAAAGACACATGAGCACAATCAAGAGCCCACAGCAACCATTCTGAACTGGCAAGAGTCGCTTGGGGGCAACTCTTACACCATCCTGCATATGCCTCGAGGAACCTGCTTCTTGTTTGCAGGTACAAAAATTATTCGTGGACACAAAAGGGCTCAGGGTGCTAACTTTGTTAGAATATAGCAAAGCCCAAATGTTTTGAGTGAGAACAAATCACTGTCTTTTCCTTAATTGATGCATGCCAGTCCAAATGAAACAGGTGTGACAGCCTCAGATGGTTATTATGTGCAGTTGTACAATGGCATTTCTCTCCCGTCCATTGTATCTGCCGCAACACTGACCTCAAGACAGGAAGAAATATCGATTGGACACACAGTATATCAGGCATTACTTCAAGAAATCCTACCCAATACTGAGAAGTCACAAGGCACAGCTAGCTCTGCACTAGGAAGTGTCCAGAAATTACACTTCATCTGCACATTGTTTGCTCTTTGTATAGTAGAAACATAAAATAAAAATCTGTTTCAAAATCTTGAAACCCAAAGGGTGGTGAATTAATGTTTAAAAAATGAATATTGGATTTTCTGCTTTTTATTTGTTGCCACATTAGGGAAAGCAATTCATTTACTACTTAGGAATCTTCAGTTGTCACTGTCGGTGACTGAGGTAAGATACACTTGAGTTATGGATCCTAAATATGTGAGAATAAAGCTATCATCATTTAGAATAGCTCAACTCTTGGTCCTTAGCAATCAACCTCATTTCATACCTGCTTACTATTCCACACCTAAAAATGACAAATCAAAGAACGTGTTTTAGTTCCTCTGAGATTCCCACTGGCCTTTGAGAAAACAATATATTATGTACAAGAGATTCTGGGTTAGAACAACAACTTGTGCTGACTCTCCAAGATTGTGTACCCTTCACCTTAATTTTCCTCCCTACCATTTCCATGGTTTTATTTCCACAGAATCCTAAAAAGCTCCTGGGATCTTTCATAAAGGCTGATTCACAACAGAGCAAACTTCAAATGACAATAATTTATGTCTTTTTTTTTTTTTGGCCAGTTCTCCTGGCCAGTTAGGCTAATTACCCAAGTCATTTGTATACACTCAGGACCTACTTTGCTCAGCACTCATTCTCTACTTCATCCCACCCGGGGGGCGGTCATAATGCTGGAAGGGGAGCCATCATAATTATCTCCATGGCAATAGAGTGCAGTGTTATTACCTCATGGGATTTGCCAGAGATTTATGTGGTAGAGCCATCGAGTCATAATATCCGGCTTTGAACAATTACCCACACCAGAAGGAGGTCAGAACCCACCGTAATGTGTGTGGTGAGTCAGGAGAAACTGCACAGAGAGCTGCAGCATGGATAAGAACATTTCCCTCAATTTGATGGGTCATTTCCTCTTGTTGATGCTCTTGCTGCTTAAAGCTCTCTGAAGTGGGTACATTCCCCCTTCACAGAGAACACTGTTGTCCATTCTTAAAAAGTTAGCTATAGCTCCACTCGACCCAGTGCATGGCTTGCTTCCCATATACCCTGATGTTTATCTTAAGAAGTTGTGCTTTCAAAGCAGGAACCCTAGCCACATGTATCTATTGAGCATGCCAATGTGTATAGACTGAGATGCAGTGTAAGTATAAAATGTGTACATTTTGATGGCTAAGTGCAAAAATGCAGACTATCTCTAATTTTATAATGATGACATGCTAAAATATATCTTGGTTATATCAGGTTACATTAAATAAGCTATAGACATATTTATATCTTTTTTAATGTACCTGCTAGGAGATTTAAAATTACATAGTTGCCTTCCCTTGTATTTCCTTTGGCAGCATTTCTATAGCATTGAAAGGCTCATCTCCATTAGCTTCTCAGTCTAAAGAACCAATAGCATCATAACAACAGCACTTGAGGTGGACCTCCTACTTCTTAACATCTGTTTTAAAGTTGTGATTTGGATTGATATATGAATGATTGTTCCACAATAACTAGAATTTCTCTCATTCCACAGTCTTATAAGACATTCACTTAGTTACATAAACTTTGTAATTTCATTCCAAATGCGGCACCCATCGCTGACTTAATGTTCAACATCCGAGAGGACTACAAACTCGCCAGTGAGTCAAGAATTTTTGAAATGAGTGTAACTGTGCCCTTCTAGAAGGACAGAGTCTACTTTAAGTACTTGTGGTGTCCATCCTCTATACTGCCCCGTACACACACACACACACACACATGGCCCATGTGCCCAAAAGAGTTCAAGAGCTGTTTTGTAGCTGGAAGAACATGGAATCAAGTATAGGACTCATGAGCCTTGTTACAAGTGTAACACAGAAACTGACACAGCAAAGAGTAAGGCCTTCCATAATGACAAGTCAGCCTGAAAAGCTGGGATCTTTTCTAGAAATATGCTTTAAGATGGTGAATGCATCCAGATGAAAGCTGGTTAAGTTGATCACAGGAGATAAATGAACAGGTTTGATGTGGTAATTAACAGAGAATCTAGAAAATACAACACAGTGCACAAACAAAAGATCATGGGCCCAACCAGCGGGAGGAGCATGTAGATCTCGGTGACACGTTAGGCAACCTTTCTGCGTCTCATTTTAGGTAAAAATCACCTTTTCAGCAAACTCAAGGCCCAAAGATTAAAGTGTAAACTGCTGCCCTCTGCTGGTCAGAAAGAGATTGCTTTTTTCTTTTCTTTCTTTTTTTTTTTTTAATCATAAAGAACTATCTGATTAAGGAACACTAGCAAAATTCAGGCAACATCAAGAGACAGAGATTGTCGGCAGAAATAGCCTGAGCGTGGTTTGTTGTGCTGCATGGTGAACATGCAAATGTTATGAAATATTTCACATGGGATAATATCAATGGACAACAGTCTTCCATTTATTGAGAACTTACAGTGTCCCAGGCATTTTTTGGTATATGTTTCATTTACTTATTTTATCATCCAAGATGAAGTTTTATCGTCTTACTTTTCAAATGAGAAACATGTATCTAGAGAGGCACAGCAACCTGTCAAACCAAATGCCACACCGCAGACAAGAGCAAATAGTTGTATCTAAATGTGTCTTTTTCCAACCATGAAGCTCATGATTTCCTGTTTCAGTGATACAGGAATTAGCAATGCCTGGAAGCATGTGAGTTCTCGATAAACGTCACTTCCTTCCATCCTCACACATTCTGACATCGTTTTCCCATCAGTTAAGATTTACAATACAGAATGCAGTTACTCTTCATCACGATAAATCACTTATTAAAACGTCTGGTTTTGTCTTCATCATGCACTAACACATCATAAAAGTCTCCAGCGCCCTTTTAGCCATTCTGCGAGTGAAGACAAAGACTGGAACAAGACTGATGTCAACACCAAGGAAGTTTCCTTTCTGGTCAGTATGTGACACCGGGAAAACATGACCCAACATGCATTCCTGCAGCCTGTGGCACGTGTCTTGACATACCACACCAGTGACAGGAGGACAGCAGTGGTGATATAATGACAGATGGAAGATGGGAGATGGAGAGATCACGGTAAACTGAGGAAGGAGGCCCCGGCAGAGGCAGCAAAGAGGCTTAGTGCTGGCGACAAGACTGTAGCTTAAAAGAAGACATGGCTGTACCTTCGCAGCCCCGCTCGATCTGTCCGCTCCGATGGAGGGCATCGTTGATGAGGTCTGGTAGGCGCCCATTCAAGTCCACGGAGGCCAGACAGCCTTGAAAACCATCCCGCGAGGCCACAAGCTTTGGCAGGTTGCTGTACATGCCTTGAGCCAGCCCCGCCATGTACAGGTCACCTGAAAAGAACAGTTCACAACGAAAGAGAGTGAGTCAACCAAAAGGTGACCACATCAACTACAATCAGTTTGTTTCACACGGTTCTTCAAGTGATGAGAATACAGAAGGATGGGATAGAGGGAGCAGGAAGTCCACAGTGAACAGCTAACGAATTTCTCTAAGTTGTAAGAAAAAAAAGAAAGAAATCACATGCTTATGACATTTACTTAATACACATCATCTCACAAATTGTAAAACTGTGTCAATTCTATGTAGGCCCTGTCAATGCTTTATGATCAAGATGCACAGAATCTTCCAGAAAATGACGCATTGAGGGTTTCTGATGTGCTTGTTCTCAGTGAGACACTATGCTAAAGGCTTTACACATGCCATTGAAACTGCTAAAAATTCAGGCAGGGAGCAGCAATTACTGGCCTCATTTTTTTTTTCAGAAAAAAAAATATACATAAGCTAAATGGTGCTTAGAAACTTTGCCAATATCTCCCAGATAGTGAATGATTCAGCTAAAATTCCAAAACCAACAGACCTTTCTCTTTGTATGGCATCTTCCTCACTTTGAGTTATCACCTGATCATTTAGTCCCCCAAGCGGGACACTTCTTAGGTTATGAGAGAAAGTGAACCATTCCTTGAGGAGTGCCTAAGTATCAGCTGAATTCATTGCATTATGGAGCAATTCAATATTCTTTAAAGGGATATGCAAGATATATTAAAAAATTTATGATCCTCTCAACCTGTAATTAGCCTTTAAAGTAGCCTGCCTTCTTTAAAAATGCCTTAAGGAAGAATTTTTTTTATAAGGTGTACCTTTCAAATCCAGGTTCTTGGCACCATTGATAACCTGGGTGACCACTTTGGTGTCCACCTTTAGGCTGTGGGTGTTACTGTTGTCCCGGGTGATGACGACATTGTGCCACTGGTTATCATTCAGAGGGCGGTCACTATTGCCTTTAATTACATTGGGGCCATTTCCAAGGTCAAACACATAGTGTATGTACCTGTGAGAGACAAGCATCCGATAGCATGAGATCCCTAGAAAAAGTCGCATGACAATATGTGCATACACATTGCATGTATATGTAACTGGCATAAGTTGCTTCAAATCCTCCACACTAATGTGAGAAACACTACACATGGAGTTATGGTTACCAGATGGGTCAGATGCTATTGTATCTTGCCGCATTTCCATTCTATCCACATTGAGAAACTGCTTCTTCACTAGTACATAGAAATACAACACAGGTCAAGAAGAAACACAGCTGCAACATTACGGAACACTGGGGAGCAGTATTTAAATTCACAATCACAGATCCAGTCTTGTTTTTCTTTCAACAGGCATTGTGTTTTCCAATAAACAGTGGTGAAAAAGTTCTAGAAGATGTTATAGATTTGCATATGTGAGCTAATAACAGTGTTGAAGAATCTATGGGGAATTGCTAAGTATGGATTTTGTGTTTATATTGCTCAAGAGATAAATGCAATATACTCCACAGCCTTCTGAAAATAATTTTTTAGAAAGTGTCTTTGTCCTACAGTCCCTTCCAAGGGACTGTGCTTCATAGTAAAAAGCCTGACAGCATGGACCTGAAGGAACATTCTTAATAGAATGTGCCAATCTTTTTTTTCCTTTTCGACATTTATCATTTTCTGTATCATTTTAATCAATGGGGATGATGACAGATCAAAAATTGAGGGAAAGGAATAGAATTGACAGGCTTTTTTGGGTCATGTTTATATTACATAAAGCTTTTGCAAAGATAGTCCATGTCAATGATATCTCTCCATCTACTTACCCCTTGACCAGTTCAACTGCAATGAAGTCATTTCCATCCCCGCTATTGAAGAGAATGAAGCCATCAGCTGACGTGGTCTTAAACTGGAAGAAGAGATGCATGGAGGTATAGGCTTGGAGGGTGGCAAGGCTCAGGTAGCTGCTCTTGGTCTTGAAGGTGACAGGGTCAGCAATAATATTCCTTAATCCAAAACGAGCCTTCAGTTCGCAGTAATCAATGTCACCGTTTTTGCACAAGTCAATATAGAGCAAACCATTGAACATGAGGCTCTGCAGGTGGCCAATAAAACTGGAGGGCACAACCGAGATGTAACGCTTCTCTGTCATGATCCCAGTTTCAATATTGTGGAACTCCAATCGGGTATGGTCTCCCACCATCGTACCTATGGGTATCATAAGGGAGGGACAAATGACAAAAGTTACCACGTTTCCTTTCAGCACCTTTCCTGTGTCTTTAAGGAAGAATGACCCCACACAGAACATTCAGTTTCCTTGATCAGTTTGAGAAAACAGAGTATCCACTATGGTACCTCCTTGGCTTGACCTCAACTAAGCAGGCAAGGCCTACTGCGACTCTACAACCCCTGCTGTTACGCAGCTGCTCAGAACGCTCAATCCTGTAAAGGAAAATGTGAGATCATGGCAACTCAAGTTCACGGAGGCAACTGGCAGACTTCTCATCTCAGGAAAATAACTGGGTACTAACAATGCATACTACAACAAAGTGGTGTTTTCACCCTTGTCAAGATAAAAGCTGCTGTCAAATCTCACTACCTGGTACTTGAAGAAATATGTCTATTGTGCAAGAACTATTGATTGTATCTGCTCAGTTAATATAGGGTTTTCTGACAACTCCAGTTTTCAATGGACAAGCTACCCTCTCCATTTGCTCTAGAAAACGTGTGTACTAGAAGAGCTTGGACTTCATCAAACTACCCAGTATAGACCACTCAACATATTTTATCCCCCAAAACCACAGACTTGGGTCAAAGGCCTAAAAAATGGGTCCTCAAATGATTAATTAAACCTTGTGCGATGAGACCTAAGAGTCTGCATTTATAGCCAGCGGCACCTCAGTGTACACATGGCCGGCCTAGAGTTGATCACTGGAATCCAGCACTAGCCGCATTCCAAGGTGGTCTAGAGATTTTCAGCTCCAGCACTTTTCCTGGTACATTTAGAGAAAAGGCATCTTTTTGCTAGCAAGGCTGACAGGGTAAGAAGCCAGCCTGCAGTTTCTGGAAGCCACACTGATAACCAAAAGTTCTGAGCCTACCTGATGAGCCCACCCACCCAAAAGATAATCAGAGAAGAGAGAAAAAGCAGGTGCACTGTGCTGATGTCGTGAGTGGCCCAGATCTCAGGGCCTCCTCCTGAAACAGCAACAGACTACCTTTCACAATTAAGGCAGTATAGTCGGCTTTCTGATATATGTAACCCAACAGCTGACAAAATGCACTGTTCAGCTTTCTGCCAACATTTTTGCCTACCAAAGGTAAGCAACTAGGCTAGAGGGGGCTATAGAGGGATTCAAATAAACAAAGAGAATGCAAATTTCAGTAAGAGAATCTTGAAAAATCAAGAAAAACATCCAAAGCACAAAGTGGAAACTGGCTCCCATAATAGGTTTCTACAGAGAAAATTCTTATCAAAAACGTAAAGCCTATTGCTCTCATACCCCGGAGAGGAATTCTCTGTCTTCTCCTGTTAGTTTCCCCACAGAGGAAAACTCCACTGGCAAGATACTGTGAGCATTCGTCAACTCTTTTCAGAAGAAAAAGAGTGATACATTCTGACAGACTAAGGATAACCTGCATAAAGTGTGCACATAGCTGAGGCTCTGACTTCCACCTCGCCTGGCTGGAACACACTGCCTTCATTAACACCTCTCTCCACTCAGCCCCTCCAGAGCAGTGATCCTCCATGGTGGAGGTCTGCCCAGTCCTGATTGGGTGTTCAAGTGGACAACTCTGCCTGATTCTGAACTTCAGTAGGTGCAACCTGTACTTTTAAAGATCAGTGTTATCACTAATCCAAACTCTATTTCCTCTCAGACTTGTAATTCGTCCCCCAACTCATACTCTGGCTCTGGGTTCAGGGACAACAACTAAAGGAGGGGGCTGCATTTTCCTATAAACTTCATACCTCAATCTCTGGGGGCGTTAACAAGATCTTACCCTTGAATGGTCAATGTCAACTTTTCAGAACCAAAGTCAGACCTACTTTAAAAAATTTCTCTAGCACACAAAGACCAGACTGACACTGTGTGCTTCTAGAGGGTATTTGTTGACAAATGATGACAAATAATTCCCTTACTCTAAGTAAAATTCAAATAATGATGTGGGTTAACTGAAATTGTAGTGGAATGAAAAGCAAAATATAACATAAATCTTAGAAAAGTTGAACAAAGAAGAATGAATATGTAGAATGATTTAGCATTAAAAAGTTGGAAGTATTTGAAAATGTACATTCACATGTTCCCAAACAATAAAATGACTGAAATAAAAGCCCAATGATGAAATTTCTGTAACTGTGCCTAACAAGACTGCAGGCTATGGCTGGACTTAATGGTGAGGAAAAAAATCACAGAATCCATGGGCACAAGGACACTGAGTTATGATGAGGCTGGCTTTCATGTTAAACTCTTATTTTGTTTTAAAAAATATATCTATGATGAAAAGTAACACATAATGAGTGATCTCTGACCTAATAAGAATCCAAGGAGACAGTTTTGAAGTCAACTGGGAGCTTTTAGGGAAATTCTGGACAAATTAACCTCAGGAACAAAAGGAATTGGAAATTCTGCTCACTGAAAAATCCATTTTTATAAAATCCATTTTTATAAACCAGAGGGAAAAACGCGCAATGTTGATTATGATAGGACAGAGACACAGCAAGGTCTTACACAAGGGAACAGAAGCCAACAATTGAATTTGAGGGCTTAACCCAGGAACATAGATTGAGTTAGGGTGTAGAAGGTCTCCAAGAGCAGTTTCAACTAAACGCCTGGGAGGGGAGAAGGAAAAGCAATACATTAGAAAAGAAACTGGCTTCACTGAACGTACAAACATATTCCTCAGTGGAGGTGGATGGGAATTCCTAAGAAAGCATGCTACTGCCTCTCAGGAAAGCCATGAGACTTTCAGGCTTGTGTCAAATTAAATAAATGTCTAAAAATGCAAGTGCATCACCTAATTAGTTATTAGTAATTGACAATCATTCCCCTTATCTCTGAAAACTAACCCCCCCATACCATTAAAGGAGAAAATACGTGCATACTTCCCAGCAGTTGCTTTCACATTTCAGGGCAATGGGAAGTACTCAAGTGGAAGATAAAACAGAAATATCAAGACTACTGCAATTCCCTATGTACCACACACTAAGTCAACCACCCCCAAACCACCATCAAAAATAATTAGCATACTTAAATGATAGCCAGGTGTCATTATCTTTCTTTAGAGGGTGGTGGATTTAGCTTTTAAAAAGTTGAGCAATTTGATCAAGGTCCATACATATGAACTAGAGTAGTTCCCTCCTCACTCCAAACTGAACCCAAGTAAGCTCATTCCAAAGGCTCTCTGTTCAATGTATATGATACAGCCTTTACAGAAAAGGGTTGACTCATTCTTCATTGCCCAAGAAAAGCAGCCGGTGCAATTTAACTGGAGAAATTCCTATGTGTCAGCTCTTGTAATGAGTGCACACTTCCTGCCACTGGCCAAGTGCCATAATACCATTCCACCTGAGTTCAAGCTAAGATATTCATCACCTTCCCTAAAACAGCCTTGTTGCCTTTGGCCTTATTCACTCATTCATTTCCACATTTCACTGACTGTCAACAAGTAATATACAGATCAGTTCTTGGAATGATGAGGAGCAGACACTTGAGAAAAACTTTGTCCCGGTTCTGTGCTATCTGAAATCAGGTTCCACTGGCTGGAGGCAGAGGGAGGGGTGATGCCTCAATTTCCCATCTGTGAAACAGACATGAAGTTACGGGGTTTAAATGCATCAGGACACACAGTGTACAGACAAGTGCAGAAGGTCTAAGCTACTAGAAGGTTCCAATTACACAGCATTCTTTCTTAGCGTATGTTTCTGAAATGTATTATTTTGCAACCATTCCACCAATGGCTTTACTTTCTGTATCTTCTCTGTGTCCTGCAGGGATAGCAAAGGGGCCCAAACACAACGGGAAAGCTTCACTTCTAGGAAAGGAGCTTGAATTTGGGGACAGATCATCACCTCATCATAAGGGGTTACAGAGTAAGCACATACGATGTGCCTTAGTAAACAGGAAAACAGTGGGAAACGTCAGTAGGAAACATCTCAACTTCCCATGTCTCAGACACCACTGGAGAAGTTAATGAAAAGGACCTACAGTCTCTCAAAGGATCCTCTTATTTTGCCCATAATTTTCCCAAAATCACTAAACCCGTAACTTTTTTCCTCCATTCTACAGCTTTCTTTCCCTTTCAACTGTGTCCCACAAAATGCTTTATTAAAAGAATAATTTCTGGAACCAAACAGTGAGGATAAGGCACACAGCAGCTTCAAAAAGTTCATGCAAACTTTGTATGAAGAAAAAGGATGTATTGCAAATTTTTGGGCCAAAATATGCTCACCCTTTATTTCCAACAGTCCTCAGATGTTTGGAAGTCCTCTCATAATTAGCTCATTCAAGGCTGGTAAGTCATACAATCGAACCTCTACCTTGTTCCCTCCAACAACCCCCATCTCTATGTTGTAAACGTTTATTACTAGTAAGATGAATCAGTTTTCAATGGAAAAAAGCCTTTTTTTAATAGTTTGACAATGCATATGCCATATAGGTTGAGGAAAAGACATCCCAGACCATAGCAACTTAAAAAAAAAACAGTAAATTTTTGAGCTAGCAAAAAATTCCACATGGCATGGATGGTTAAGGCAGCCACAGCCCCCATCCCCCATCCTATGGAGCATAACCCAAGTGAAGTATACCATAATTTATTTTCAATATAAAAATACAGTGCAATCAATCAATCAACCAATCCTTTTAACTGTCAACTGAACTTAATAGTTTTCCAAGAATACAATTATATTACAATAAATGAAAAGCACCAGGTTGAAGAGCATTTCCAATCTTCCTCTTGATTTCCTTTGAGTCTGCTCTATTCTTTGCAAATTTCTATAAACCAGCTGAAAATTTAGCACACCGGGAGACCTTAAACAGCATGAAAAGGATTACTAAATAAGCCAATAAGACATCAGTTAATATCGTGGGGACTGTGTGGTGTCTGAGTTCCAGTGCTTGATTTTATGACTTCTGAAAACTAAAATTAAAATCCCCAAACTTCTTTTCAGTGTAAAACACATACACACGGTTGCAGCTCATAAACAGAATAGCTCTTTTCCTTCCAACATTTCTTAATCCTCACAGCCACTTTCTTCCATCGGGGAGAAAAGTAGGGGGCAAGGCTAAAAATGAAAGAGCTGCATTAATTTTGAATATCAATTTACTGAATGACTTGGGCATTCCATGGGTAAAGCCTGCTTACTAATTATTAGTGGTAACAGAAAGCATAATTTAAAATTACCTTCATTTCATGGCTTATAGAAAGAATAATTATCGAGAGGAAATGCACATTAAAATATTCTCAGCTCTTCGGTTCCTGAGATCTGTATACTTTCCAAAGCATTTTATTATTCGAAAAAAAAAAAAAAGGAAGGAAGGAATTCGCTGTGGGCAGAGGTGGGGGACGCTGCCATCTAGTGGCGGATCCACAACATACACTGAGAATGGCAACACCCTGGGTTTACCAGGCAGAACCAATGTGAAGGGAACAAAGGAAGCCAAATAGAGTCTTTGCGGGTGCTTTTGCAGGCCTCTGTCTCCACTAGCAGTTCATGGAAAATTTATGAATACTTATTCTCAGTTTGATTGGATTTTAAGCCGTGTAGCCATTTTACGGCACCCCCTTTTTTACATTCATTTTTACATTCATATCATAGAGATGAATTATCCTTCGGACATGCAGACTGGTAATCTTACTTTCTATGACTAAGTTCTGCTTATGTGTAGCTGGAATGTTCCAGGGGGTGTTATCAATGCCTGCCTGTCTGTGGGCAACATGGTGAGCACTGCAATCCCCCGTCAAGAATGGACTCCCCATTTCATGTCAACATATCCCCATTTCTTGCTTCATATAAAGATGCATCAATTTCTTGTGGATTCTGAATTACAACAAGTACCGTACTTTTAAAGAGTAACAGATATGAATGTAGATTTTAATTACACAACTCTAACTTTCACATTCCCTGCTTTAAAATGACTAAGAACAACACTTGCTATAGTGAATTACAGAAGATTAAAACATGGACACATGTAAGACAGCTTAGGAAGCACCTGAGCCCTGGCAGGCACCACAGTGAGGCTGTCTTGTTCTTCCCCTGTCCACCGAGTGCACTGTACTACACACACACACGTGCACACACACACGTGCACGCACACACACACACACACACAGACACACACGCACACACACGTGCACACACACACACACACTCGTCTGTGTCTCACTGTACGACCAAAGCGATGAAAGGGCGGGATCACAGACAATCATAGAACTCCACGCCACAGTGCACGTGTGTGAAAAAGGCCTCAGAAATAACAATATCAAGTTTACAAAGCAGGAAATAAATATGAAAATGTGGTGTATCTATCTTAAAGGCGTCCAACAATTTGCTGGCCATGTCTGCATTAAACCACAGGACTCTCGACTCCAAAACAAGTGCCTGACCTGCAGAAGGCAGCGGAGCCGTGACGGAGGCCACGGACAAGGAATGCAGGAGAACCTTCCAGCATGCCGCGCAGGGTTAATGGCAGGACCAAGACCGGATACCAACGGTGTTCCACAAAATATGCCAACCTGCCTATAGTGGCTTTATTTTCATATGAAAAAATATGCCTCTTCCATATGTACTTCTTTGAAATGATACAGTTTCACAGGACGTCGTGTGTAAAATGACATCAGAACAGGCCTGCTCTTCACCCTAGTCCTCATCAACTCCAAATAACCACAAAATGGTAGCTGAACGTCCATCCAGCTGCACAGCTGTACGTCCCTAGCCCCAAGGGGCCACTTGCTCATTTGAATGAGAGATCATGCTGTCACAATGGTCTTCTCTTACTTTCAAACACTAGGATCCTATCTAATCCACTGGACTGATTCACATTCACAATTTGACTAAATAAGCAATCTCTGGGCCTGGTGTGGTAGCCTAGTGGCTAAAGTCCTCACCTTGCATGCACCTGGATCCCTTATGGGTGCAAGTTCATGTCCTGGCTGCTCCACTTCCCATCCAGCTCCCTGCATTTTGCCTTAGAAGGCAGTGGAAGACGGCCCAAAGCTTTAGGACCCTGCACTCACATGGGAGACCCAGAGGAAGCTCTGGGCTCCTGGCTTTAGACTGGCTCAGCCTGGGTTGGTATGGCCACCTGGGGAGTGAACCAATCCAAGAAGATCTTCCAGTCTCTCTTCCTCTCTGCATATTTGCCTTTCCAATAAAAATAAATAAGTAAATCTTAACTGAAAAGAACAAGAACAATGAAAGAAACCTCTTGTGCTTCCTTTTATCTCTGAAGTTACAGTACACTGCTGGAATCTAGCAGAGCCTGGGGACTGTGCCCTGCTTGTACAAAAGGTGTGTGTGAATCCATGTATTCAGTGCCTTGCTAAGTGTTACACCCACCAGGCTGAAGACTTGTCTTTTTATGTCTCACTGTATTCCCAGTGTCTCATAAAACAGAACTTGTTACAGAATAAGTACTAAGTTAACTAATAATTCAACAAATGAAAAATTAGCTAAACTAAACATTTGATATCTTTTCTAAGAATATATGTGTATCTGCACCATCTTGAATGACTGATTTATCCATCTTTCTCTTATAGAATGACTCATCCACTGAAGAAGCTGCCTGGCACATAAAAGAATGACTGAAAGGTATTAGAAGAACTGAATAGCAGGAGGACCTGCCGTCTCCTCCATCTGTACTTCAGACACATACTCTACACTAAGGAGAGCGATTCAAATACTATGACTGTGTAAGTAAGAAAGATCCACAAAACAAATGTAAAAGGAATTAGACAAATAAAGAGAGAACCATTTAGCCTTACCTGAGACGCAATTAAGAACATACCATGTTGGGATAGAATAAGAAAACTAGGAACTTTTCAGAGCAGAGTTACCTTGAGGTCCATGCAATGAGAAACCAATCCCACCACAGTCATACTCACCCTCGGCCACGTCATCATCCACTGTCAGCTTAAGGCTCTTTCCTCTTCGCACCACGCGAACGGTGTGCCACTCATTGTCATTGAGCTTCTGCCCCGCGTACAGGGTCTCGGGCCCTTTGCCTAAGGATGATTGTAAGTGGCAAAGTCAGAGTCAGTTCTCAAAGTCGTGCTCATGGCATCAAGGTCATCAAAGCCACACTGGTGCACATGACCCAGTAGCGCTCAAGAAATCAGACTGCCCCCTGCCCAAGCTCACCCTCACTCTGGTCCAGAAATGGACAACGCCACGGTAGTGTGACAGAAGTCAGTGCCTTCTTTTGTTTACAAATATAAAGTTTCAAAATGTCAATAGTCACAAGCAAACATCTACAGAAACTAGTAGTTAGTTGTCGTTTCTTTCTCAAGTTGTAGAATTCAGATGAATTTCTTGAAGATATAAGAAACACATCATATTTCTTAAGAATCACTTGGCCATTCAGGCATAATACACCAGTCTGGCTTGTACAGAGTTCCCACTAACTGAATAAGAAAAGGACTCTGCCATATACATTGCCTCAATGGGGCATTTCCACTTACCGGGGTCCTGTTGGAATTAACCAACCAGCGATATTACCATAATAGCAATGTCAAGTTGAACCCCATTTGTAAATAATGCTCCTGAAGGGAATGTGAGGGGGCACAGACTTATCCTATTGTTCATCGTCCTCCAAAAGAATCAAAAGATCTAAAAAACAACATAAAATCCCCAAACTGGGACTTTTCTGGTGAAATGAAATTTCATAGAGAGTGACACTGCATCAAGGAATAAAGCATGCTATCTTAAGAGATCTACCCATGGGGGACTTTGCTAAAGTTGAAGTGTGGCCAGAAGAATCAAGGACAAGGAATGAAGGCATCAAGGGTAGAAGACAGCCAGGCACAAAGTTAGGAATGCATGAAACCAAGCAGCTAGTAAGGGGGCGGGGGAATTACTTTCTATTGTGGTCCACGATTGGACTGAGATAGACATTTAAAGAAAAAAAAAATCACAAAAGCTGCATAAAGCCAGAAGACTGAGACCCAGTTTGTACTTCCCAAGAAGATAACTGAACCTGGACAGAAAGGTATTGATTAAGTATTTCCGGATCAATCAATCAATGTGCAGAAAGTCTTATTCCTGGAAATAGCTTTTAAAAAGAGGAAATATCTAAGTGTTAATGGACCCTATGGATTTTAAGGAAATGAACCTACTGGAAAAGATTTATACATGGTCTCAATTTACACTGAGTACAGATCCTGGTACACAGTACTGCTCATGTCTACACAGATTTTGCTTCTTTGATAACCATTTATTAACGTCAACAGATTTAACTAAGTAATTTTGAAATCTTTATTATATTTCTTTTACTAGCTACCCTCCTCTTCCTCTGTCTCCAAGAGCAGGGACTTCCATGAGGAAACTTCAAAAAGTTCATGGAAAATGGAATTAAAAGATGTGCTTCCCGTAAAACTTTTTAACGTGTGCTTACTCATATAGTTGGGGAAGGGGAAACAATAGTATGATTTAGAAACAGTCAAATCCTTTAAAACTATACCTTTTTATTTTGAGTCATTTACAACTTTTTCTGACAACGAAAAGAGCTTTGGCAGTAACTGAAATTTGGAGAAATTTTTGTCTTTCATCTATCAAAGTGAAAACATTGTCTTTAATTGCAATAAATAGTTTGTCAAGTAAATTAACATTTTAAATTTTTCAGAATGAGCTCAAAGATGAGTGGCAACCCGTATTAACAAGAATCACAAGAATTTAGTAAAGACAGAGTGGACCAAATTCACCCAACGTTGTGTGGTGACACCATGAGATCAGACCGGTCAGGAAGATATAGTTCTGTAATGCGCATTTTATATTCAAACTCAGCTTACTTAACAAGTGAGGATTCCTGTCTTCAATATTATAAGTTATAGAAGAATATTTCCTTAAATCACAGCTTATTAGATATCACTTTTCATTATCTTTTTAACTCCAAGTCTAATGTCGATGCGACAGTCCGCAGTGGTGAACCATGAGGGATCTGACAGAACATGCACTATGTCATGCGGAAATCTTGTAACAAAAACAGAAGTTCTCAAAGCGAACAACTCTGCCTCTGTCTTTTTAAATGCTTCCTCCTTTATTCTATACGCAAAATGCTTCCATGAAAGAAAAAAAAAAGTAAACAAAAATGTGGGGAATGTTGTTTATGAAGTCAGAACAGCTACGAATTCTAGGCCATTTAGAGCAACTCCTTTACAGTAGCATCTCTGCTTTGGGCAAATGTACATCACTTTCTTTTTGCAATTAGAAACAAGAGGAAGAGTGAGGAACAGAGTCATGGGGGAACCACTGCCGCATCAGTTCCACATTAACTGTGGAGGCACAAAGTGAGCCATGCCCAAGACAAACGTGTTGTAAAAGCCGCTTTGATCTGCACACTGTGCAAATGATCAGATTCAAACACACACATGTAACTGTTCAGTTGATTCTTAAAAGGATTTGACAATCTACAGCTGTAAATATATATACGTATATATAAATATCAAAATATGACTTGTGCCTTGTAATACCTCCAACAATATTTATTATTCAAAAACAAAACAGATTTAGAAAAAGGTTCACAACCATCTGATTAAAAGACAGGCACAGTTTATTCAATATGTATTCCCAAGTGGGCAAAGCATAAATCTGAGTGAGCTTTTGGGAAATTCCAGAATTCTGGAAGCACAGAGTCCACAGCGTTCACCTTTAATCAGATCAAAGAGCAACTCATACGACCAGAAGAAAAATGATGCAGAGTCAGCTGGAAATGCAGGCACACCTAGGGACAGAGGCAAATGTACTCTAACCAGGCCATAACCTGGGTCTATGCATGGCCTTTTTAATAATAGGATTTTCCAGGAACGTTTTGAAGTCTTATATGTAAGACCTGTTCTCACACAAGATGGATCCAATTTGATCATGAACGGGGCCAAAAAGAAAGTATCATAGATGAAATGTGCCGGCTAGAACGTTCTCTTGTGACTTACCCTACCATAGCCCTACAGAAGTCCTTACAACTCCATATGTAAGCAAATAAAAACCAAAAATCATCAAAGGAAAAAGCTATCTTTGGAGAAGAGCTGTTGATTACATGGAGGAAGATGACACCCAAATACTAGCAGATTTTCTCCCTTTTTTGGCCAACAGGAAATAGGAGCAATGGTAAATATGTATGTTTTATGACTTCTAAAAGCCACCAAGTGTACAAGGTAGATTTTGTATTTTAATTATTTTATAAATTGCATTTTTTTCTAACATCAGTCTGTTTATATCACATGTTATGAATTTGTTATTCCCTACAGGAGCAATATAACCACAAAACCGCAAGTTACCCACAACATACATATGTGTATCAGTGTACCCGATGACCTGGCCCAACTCACTGACCATGGTGGTTTTGCTCATATGCAGGAAGTCGCGATTCCTTCCATGTGCCATAAAGCGCAGTTTCCCAAAGCAGGTGGGGAAACACTTGGGAAATTTTTTGCTGGGTGTGATGGAATGAAGGACAGGTAGCTACCTTTCCTACAATTCTTTTTGCTTTACCTGAACATCTTGCTATTTGTGCAAAAGGGGAAAGGCACAGTAACTTGATCTAACTTGGAAATAAGCTTCACATGAACCAACATTTTCACAATTTTTTGAAATAACATGAAATTTAGCCTCTTAGAACTTTCTTACTGGAAGCTATATGTAATTATATGTCTAAATGATAAATAAATGTTCAAGTAGTGTTTTTAGATTTAAAGAACACCAAAGACACTTTTTCAAAAGGGCTTACCTTCATGTCCTGTAGCACACTCCATTGGGTTAGCTGAGCTGTGGCACGCATTTCACTAAGCCCACATACATAGCATCATATACTTCACCAGTCACCCTCTCCAGAGAGAATAAATTAAGCAAGAAAAAGCAGAGATGAAGAAGAGAATGCAATTCAAGAGTAGAAAGGACAGGAAAATAGGGGAGAAATACCTCCTTTTTCTGCCTACAAAATAACAGATTCTGGTATTTTCTTCAGGTTCTTAATCTAAGAGGGGTTCACAAAGGTGTTTCATTTTTGTACACTTATAAAATTATTTTGTAATTCTGTTCTAAACATTCATTTTGATAGGAAAGGCAATCTTACACATTATTTTTTAATCCAGATTGGAAGATACCCATATAAATCATTTCATTCTCACTGGAACCTTAGCCCCAACAAGACTTACTGTACCTCCTACAATAGATCTAAAGGGCACAGGGAACTTTCTGGAAACTCTTTAAAAATTCTTCCAGTGAAGTGACAGAAAAGTAAGTGACCCAGATATTCGATCTGAGCCCATACGTAATGCTGGGAATTGTGGTTTTTTTCACTGAAACGCGCACACATGCGCGCGCACACGCGCACACACACACACATACACACACACACAACAGTAATCACCAGGCTTGAAGAGGCAGACACACCCTTGAGACCACCACGTATAACACGGTCAAGGACAGAGTACCATTCACTTCCCCTATTCTACTCACCCAGGGTGCAGGGAGAGGACTACACTCACCTTGTGCAAGATATTAAACATTCCACCTGTACTATTTGTAACAATTGTTAAGCAAGCAACAGGATGGGACCTGGCACCATTCTAGGCATGGAAGATAAAGGGACAGACAAGACAGAAAACATGTCTGCCTTTACAGGGCTTACATTCTAGTGTGGTTGAAGAAAATGCAGACATGAAGGAAGAGTAGGTAACGGTGAACAGAACAGGGTAATATGAAAATGTACTGAGTGAGGGGTTGGTAGATGGAGGATATCTGCCCTTGACCACCTATAGAATATTTCAGTGGGCTTCTCTGTAATGACTTCTCCATTTTCACCCTGAGTATCTGATTGGGTAGAAAGTCATCAAGTCATCAGAGGAGACTTCTCACAGGAGATCCCCTTGAGAAGGAGCTAACTATATGGACATTTGAGACACTGAAGCCAGCAAGAGCAGAAGCCCAGGGTGAGCTTGATGCATTGGAGGAAAAAAAAGCCTTTCGCGATGGAACTCATGTCCAAAGAAGAGAGAACAAAAATGCTGTG